GCTGAATTCCAGGGGTTTGGCCTCTTGTTGAGACCTGGGTTTTTTTCCCCTCCTTTTCAGCTGTGTGTTTTCCAGCTCTGCTCAGCCTGGTGGGATTTTGGGGTGTCCTGTGCAGGGCCAGGAGCTGGACAGGATGATCCTTGTGGGCCCTTCCAGCTCAGGAGGTTCTGTGATTGTGTAGGCCAAGCAACAGAGTTGACAGAGATACCTGTCAGGCCTGGGCAGAGCTTCTGGAACCAGTGGGAAATGTATCCAGAGCCAGAATGGAGGAGTTGGTTGGACACTCTCCAAAGTTCCATGTCTGCACAACAGCTCCAGAGGAACTTCTGCTTTTTCTCTGCTTGTGAAACCAAACTCAGAGCCTAATGACAGTTACATCCAGGATATTCTGTACAGATCTGAAGGCTTTAGATTCACCCAAATAATGTGGAGGAGTTTGGGGCAGAAGGAGAGGGGAATCAATCTAATTTTTTTCCCATCTGTCCCTAGTATCTGGTTTATCTCTCCCAGCAGCAGAGCTCTGATGTGTCTCATCACCTCACATGGTGATCTTAGAGGTCTCCTCCAACTTTGATGGTTCTATGGTTCTATTCTGGACCTTCAAGGAGCATCTGTTAACATCTATGGGAGATTGTTTGAAGAAACATAATGCAGGAAGTGCAAGGTCCTACATCTGGGTGAGGGCAATCCCAGACACAGCTCCAGGTTGGGTGGGGAAGGAATTGAGAGCAGCAGTGAGGAGGGAGACTTTGGGGGTGACAGTGGATGAGGAGCTCACCATGAGCTGCAAGGTGCTGACTTGTTTCTTGCTGCAGATGTTTGTTTGCCAAACCCAAACTCTTCAGCCATTACTGCAGTGAAGAAAGGCTAAATTATTTCCGAGTTCATAGCCAAATATTAACTAAGCTGCTGTTTAATTTGGAGATCAATTCAACACAAGTGGAGAATATTCCTCTTTTCCAGATGAAACTGCCACTGGGGCACCCTGAGGGCTTTTTCTTCAGTGCTATCCAGGTCCATTCCAGCCCCTAAATTCTGTGGCACAGTCCTGGTTTGTCCCTTCCTGAGGCATGTCTTAATCCAAACTTGTCCCACAGAACATTCCACAGGGAATGAGGAGGGAGCCAAAATCTTCCTCTGCTTGGCTTTGATGCTCCGACAACCTTGTGCTGATGGAGAGGTGAACTGGGTTGTTTTCAAACCTCAAATATCAGGGATGGAAAAACTTTGTCAAAGCTGCTGTATTCCTTAGGGATTGCTGTGCTCAGGAATGCATCTAGGTCATGGGGAATAATCCAGTTAGCCAGACAGATTATTAGATTTATAGTGGGAGTAAACAGTTGGCTTTTTCCCTGAGTTTTATCAGTTGTGGCTGGAAGCTGGAATGGACTTCTCTGCACTGTTGGGTTTCCTCTGGATGGCTCAGCTGGATGGGAGAGGGACAGAGCTGGAGCTTCCCTTCTCCTGCCTTAGGGTTGGTGGGACTTGGAACTGCAAAATTTATGGGGAAAGAAGAGTTTCCAGCTGCTTTGACCAAGGGAGTGAAGAAATCCAAGTTGTGTCCAGGAGCTCTGAGAGGAAACCCGAGGTAGTTTGGGCTCCTTGGGTGTTTTTCAGGTGCTGTGGCAGTGATTCAAGGCACAGGAATCAGGAGCTGTTACAAACAGTAAAGGATGTGGTTAAGCACCTACTGGGTGATAATTTATGTACATCCTACTTAAAACCTGGAGGAATGTGGCCTGATCTCCTCCTGGAGAGTGTTTTATTCTATGTATCCAAACATTTTTTAGTTTGTAGGAACAGAAAGGTGTATTTTGAAAGGAATATGTTCAGTTTTCTGGTGTTAATGTTGGCTGAGACACTTCATTCCACCTTAGCATCAGGTTCCTTTGGGGTGTGCAGCATCAAACACCTGAAGTTGTCTTCATCTGTCCCTTTTCCCTGACAAAACTGAGTGTAGAAGACAATCCCAGGCCTGTGAAATTCTTCTTCCACCCTTGTCAAACCTGTTCTCTATTCCTAGTTTTCATGGCTTGGTGATGTATCTTTTACAGGGGAAGAATTCCTGGTCAGGGGAGAGAAGAGTGTTGCTCCTCAGAGTGTTTGTGGGCACCTCACAGGGTTTTTTTTGGGCTGTTCCTTCCAAATTCCCTGATAAAATGGAGTTGGAATCAAAGCTGTGTCCAGGACAGCAGAGTTTGCTGCAGGCCTGAGGTGTAGCTCAGGTCTCTTGCATGGGAATGTCTCTCTTAGTGAACTTCTGCCTCAGGTCCCCATGGAAACTGAATTAAATGGGCAAAATGGCAGGAAAATTGGGTGGGGGAAGTCTTTTAAGTAGAATCCAGGGGTAAATGTGTACCTCAGATGAATTGGGAGGCATGAAATGAGCTCCTAAGTGTGATAAAAGCAGTGGCTGTCAGACTGGAGTGATTCACAGGCTATTCCTGGAAGGCAAAGGAGCCAAACTGGTGCAGGAAAACACTGAGTTTGGGCCTTCAGCACTGCTGGGTGGGAGTTTGGGTAGGAATGGGGCTGAACTGGGTTAGCTTCTCTGCACCTCAAACAGTGATCAAACTGCCCAGAGCTTGGAAAACAGGGCAGGAGCCTCTTGGGATGCAGCAAATAATGCTTTGAACTGGTTTGGAAGGGAGGAATTCTCTCTTGGCTAACCCAACACACTTCAGGGGGTTCCCAGTGCACTCAGAGGCTCCACTTGGCTCATGGCAGGGCAGGATCTGCTTGATGCTTGATTTTGATTTGTTTTGTGGGATATGGGATGCCAGTGGTCATCCAGGCATTGGGGGGTTGGAATCCAGGGGTGAATAGCAGCTAATCTGCTTCATGTTATCTGTAACTCTGTGGGAGTGACAGGACTCAAGGAATGGCTGGAGCTGTGTCAGGGAGGGTTAGGTGGATATTAGGGAAAGGTTCTTCTCCCAGAGGTGTTTGGGCACTGAACAGGGTTAGGTTGGATATCAGGACAAGGTTCTTCTCCCAGAGGTGTTTGGGCACTGAACAGTTCCCCAGGGCAGTGCTCAGAGCCTGACAGAGCTCCAGGAGTGTTTGGCCAATACTCTCTGGCATTTGGGGTGTCTCTGCAGGGCCTGGATTTGTGCTTCAATGATCCTTATGGGTCCCTTCCAGCTCAGGATGTTCCATGATTCCATGAGCTGTTTTCTGTACTGGTGTCTGCAGCAGCTCTGCATCCTGTTTTAGACCCAGAGTGTAACTCTCTTTGCATTCCTGATGTTCCCATTGCCAAGTTGGAAGCTTTGTTGTTTTACAAAGGGTCTCTTAGTGAAGGCAAACAGGGATGAAGTTCCTTGACAGCAATTCCATGCTTCCAGCCCTGTCAGAAGGGCTCAAGTGTGCTCATAGCCATGTGACCTCGGGAGAACCAGCTGAGAAATCTTAGGAATCCATCGTGAGTCATAGGTATTCCCCAGATAGCAATCCTTGATCCCTAATGGTGTGACACAGCATGGACAGAGCTTGAACCTCTGCAGGACTTGTTGGGGTGAGGGACACAAACCCAAGGAATGGTCTTCAGATGCTCTTTGGGGAAGGCTAAGAGGTCTTGCTGAAGGAGGAGCACCAGTTGCTGGTGGTGTTGGGTTGTGTGTTGGTTTGCTCCTGTCTCCTAGAGACAGCTCTGGCTTCCTCCTTTGTTCCCAGTGGCTGCTGTGAGTCATCATCCTGGTGTGGATATTGCAGCCCTGCACATCACTTCTGCTCAGCTCTCTGGGCTCAGCTGGGGACTCCCAGGGCAGGAGTGACTTCCTCAGAGCTCTGAGAGTGCTTCAGTTGTTCTGGGGCAGAAAAATGATAGAGGCCTTCTGAATTATCACCCTCTGTTTGAAGCCAAAGGTGGCACTTAAATCCTCTCTTCGGTTCAAAGCTTTTGGTGTTTTCCTTCCTTATTTTAGTGGTGATACATGGAATCCCACCACTCTGCTTTGCACATCCAGAGGTGTCTCTGAACTTCCTTGGAAGGGAAGGCAGCAGTTTTCCAACTGGCCCTTTCTGGGAGGGTTAGGAAGAAGTGATGGCAGCAGGAGTTGTGTGGCCAAAGCTGTGAAGCTGCAGTAAGAAAAGAACTAAATAAAATCCATCTCTTGGCTTTTGGTTGGATTTAAAGGAAGTCCTAGCCAATATTGTCCCAACCATCTGTTCCTCCTGGCTGGGAACTTTTTGGAATAGCTATTGTGCTGCCTTTGTCTTGGCAGTGGAGACTTGTGTGGTGCTTTGTGCTGTTGGAACTGCATGGAGAAGTGGCAGCATGGGTTGTTTCCTCAGGGCTGTAGGGCTGGAAAACACCAGTGGGAGAGGTTGATGCAAAATGGGGCAGGTGGTAGGGCTGGAAAACACCAGTGGGAGAGATTGATGCAAAAAGGGGCAGGTATGGGCTAAAGAATTCCAGTTCCTCTGTGATGGCCCTTACTGGGACACTTGGTCTGAGTTTTGTTCTGAACTAGGCTGAAACACTTCACGGGCACAGGTTGCCCAGGGAGGCTGTGGCTGCCCCAATCCTGGCACTGTTCATTCCAGTTTGGATAAATCCTTGAGCAACCTGCTCTGGTGGGAGGTGTCCCTGCCCAGGGCAGGGGGTTGGGGCTGGGTGATATCTAAACTCCATCCCAACCCCTTAACATACTTTGATACTATGAAAACTCAAAGACACTTGGTACCAAATCAGAGTTCTGGAGCCAGTGGGCAGTGCTCCATGTCTGCATCCCTGTGGGATCAGCCTGGCAGCTGTGGATGTGCAGGATGCTGTGTGAGCCTCCAGCTCTGAGGGGATGGACCAAACCCTCTGAAGGGTTTGGCTGGTTCTGGGTTTGCACTTCGTGGTGGAATTGTGGCCTGTGAGGGCCTGTACAAACCTCCGTGTGTTTTGCTCTCTCCCTTGGCAGGAGGTGGACGTGGTGGTGGCTCCATGCCGTGGGTTCCAGCCTGCTGAGGCCACCCTGGAGGAGTATGTGAACCAGGTGCTGCCTGTGGTGGTGTTTGCCATCAGTGAGGCTGAGCTGTCACCCTCAGACGAGCACGAACTGCGCCAGATCAAGGAGAAGTTCTCCTTGCCCATTTTCTTCTTCCGAGTGCCAGAGGTTGGGCCAGAGCTCATCTCCCCCAACACCCCAGACACTGAGAAGTCCTCCCTTTACTGCCAACTGATGGATTTGGAGTACCTGAGCACTAACCACTGCAGCTGTGGAGCTCCTGGTGCTGATAGTGATGCCCAGAGCATGTTGGTGGAGCAGCTGGAGAAGCTTCGGCTGCTGAGCACCTTCTCCAGGCAGGTCCTTCAGAAGCACCTGGTGGAAGCAGCTACCAGCCTGAACGAGGTGCACTGTCGTTGCCTCAACATCTTCATCAACCAGGCCTTTGACATGCAGAGGGACCTGCAGATCACCCCCAAGAGGTTGGAGTACACCCGCAAGAAGGAGAATGAGCTCTACGAGTCCCTCATGAACATTGCCAACCGCAAGCAGGAGGAGATGAAGGATATGATCGTAGAGACTCTGAGCAACATGAAGGAGGAGCTCTTGGAGGATGCTGCTAACATGGAGTTCAAAGGTAATCCCTGGCTGGGGAGTGGGGATGGGGAGGTGTGGGGCTTTAAAGGAGAGTCATTTCCTGGGAAGGAGAGGGAAAAGGATAAATGGGAATGGCTTCAAACTGATGGAGAGTAGGTTTGGATTGGATATTAGGAGGGAATTCTTCCCTGTCAGGTGCTGAGGCACTGGCACAGGTTTCCCAAAGCAGCTGTGGCTGTCTCAGCACATCCAACCTGTTCCAGACCAGGTTGGATGGTGCTTGGAGCAACCTGGACTAGTGGAAAGTGTCCCTGAGTGGAACTGGATAATCTTTAAGATCCTTCCAACCCAAACCATTCTATGATCCTATGTTTAATCCTGCAGTTAGGACCTGGATCTCTTTGCAGATGGGAAATACAGAAGATATTTCTGTTCCTTGCAAGGATCACTTTAGAGTGCCCATGCCCAGTGTTGTCCTCATCAAGGACTTGTTTTAATTGCAGCAGAACCTATTTACATGCTGGAAACACCCAGCAAACTGAGGCTTCAGTGTGCAGGGTGTGTGTTCACTGCCTCTTCAGGCATTAGGAATGATTCTATGGAGAGGAAGGAATCTCTGGGCTCTCTGTCCCACTCTTCCCAGCACTGGAGCACTGTCCTGCCTGAAGTCTGCACAGGCTGAAACCTCTTGCAGTAACTCCTTGGCTGCCTTTATTTGCACCACACACATCCCTTGGAGCATCCTGCTGGCTCTCAGCAGTTGGAGAACTCTCCCCAGGAGGGAGGTGTTATTTTGAGGAGCTAATGCCATCTGCCAATCCCTGGATATGTTTTTAAGGAGTCTACACTGGTGTTGGCCAAAATCCAGGACAAGCCTTGCAGCTCCTGGGAGTAATGTAGTTACTCAGAATGATAACAGTGCCTGAGCAAGGATTGCTCAGTGGTGGTTTAAAATGCCAAGTGGTAATCAACCTTTCCAAGGGACCAGGAGAAAATGTCCTGTACCTGTGTGGCTGTTGCATCACTTCCCTCTTAACCTTCAGCATTCAGCAGTGCCTGGAAGGATTTCCTCATCTGGAGCTAGATTTCCTGGGCTGGACTAATTACAAACACAGCTTTGTGCTGCTTCTCTTTGATTTTTGGGGCTGATAGTTGCCTTGTCATCACTGTACCCACATAAACCTGTAGTAGCTCTGGTGTGGAGTTGGTAGAGTTGAGTATCCTGTGGATTCCAACACCAGTGAGTGGAAGCAAACAGTGTTTTCCACCTTGGATTTTTAGCTGGAGTAACCAACTAATCGTGGAGTGTTGAGGGGTTGGGATGGAGCTTAGAGATCATCCAGCCCTTAATCTGAATCCAGCAGTGGTTTTTATACCATCTGGAGCTAAAGTAAGGAACCTCTGAGGGAAAACCATGGCAAAAAGGCCTTTGGAGCAGGAACTGGTTTGGCTGGGGCTGTGCTGCAGCTCCTCAGGGCACTGAAGCAGCTCTCAAAGCTGTTGTTACAACCACCATGGATACAAAGGGTGTTTCTTTCTCTTCCTTTGTGCAGATATCATCATTCCTGAGAATGGGGAACCAGTTAGCTCCAAGGACATCAAGTGTTGTATTAAGCAGATTCAGGAACTGATTATTTCTCGGTTGAACCAAGCAGTTGCCAACAAGTTAATTAGCTCAGTGGATTATCTGAGGGAGAGCTTTGTGGGCACCCTGGAGAGGTGTCTGAAGAGCCTGGAGGAGTCCTGGGAGGTTTCAGTACATCCTGCAAGGAGTTTGGAGAAGCCAAAGGATGTTTCTGTCCACATCACAAGCAATTATCTCAAGCAGGTATGGTGCCTTGGGTGGCTCTCTAGGATGGACTCAATCACTGTCTTTGTCCTGATCAGTCAACTCTGTCCTGAGCCAGCAGGGCTGGGGGGCTGGAGATCCTCTGACATCAGAGGATCAGAGCTCTGAAGTGTGTGAGGGTCTGGGTCACTGAGGGAGTACAATCCCTTCAAACCCTAACACTTACCTGTCCTAAATCTGTATCTAATAACCAGATTCCAGCCTAGAAACACCCATGAGCTCAATGCCCTAAAGGAACTGAGCCAAGGGAACGGAATGTCCCACAGAACATCCATTTCTTAATTTCCAGTGGGTCTAGCAAAGTGTTTTTCACCTTGCAAACTTCCCCTTGTTTCTTCTTTTCCTGCTTTGCAGATCCTAAATGCAGCTTATCATGTTGAAGTCACTTTCCACTCTGGCTCAACAGTGACCAGGATGCTGTGGGAACAGATCAAACAGGTAGGATCAAACTGGTAGAACCTCCAGCAGTTCTTGAGTGTGTCCCTGTGCAAGGAGGAACTTCTCCTCACAGCTGCTCTCCACACTGGCTCTGGGCACATGTTGCTTCCCCACTCAGCACTAAGCTGTGTGTGTAGGTCATTCCTGGGAATGCTAATCCCTGGAGGTGTTCCAGGCCAGGTTGGATGGGGTTTGGAGCAACCTGGGCTGGTGGGAGTTGTCCCTGCCCATGGCAGGGGTGGGATGAGATGATCTTTAAGGTCTTTCCAACCCAAACCATTCCATGATTCCATGACTCCAGAGATATTTGCTTTACATTTCATATGGGAGTGTTTTCCTGCTGTTCTGAAGCAGTAAAAGGGATGATGAAACTCATGGTTGGTTTGGGTAACTGGTTATTTATTTGGGTTTGTGGTTTTCTTGTGGGATTTTCCTTTGCTTGTTTTGCAACGTGTCTTGATTTGGGTCATTTCACTCTTCCCTCCACAGAGCAGAGCAGATCTGCTCTGGTTTGTTTTAAATCTGTGTTAAATCATCTTTCTGAAGCCTCTGAGTGACCTTTATTCCCTCCTCCCTCTTGAGATTCCTTGTAAGGATGGGTCAGAGGAACATGAGTTCTCCCAGAGAGGTGCAGTGCAGATTCCTCCTGAGATTTCTCCCGCAGGCTGGGAGAGAGATCCAGCCTGGGTGTGCAGCACTTGGATTTCTGTGGCTTCTAATAAAGGCAGGGGCAGGGCAGCTTAAGCACCCAGTAATTAAGGCAAGTGGAGCAGTAGTGCCATGGTCTGGCTGACATGGAGGAGGTTTTAGGTCACAGGTTGGACCTGATGATCTCAGAGGTCTTTTCCAACCTAATTGATTCTCTGGTTCTGACTCCAGGGATTTCCACCCCTTGGCAGTGTGTTTGTCCAGCAAAAAGCTGCATCCCTGGGGATTCTCTCAGTCTGGGAGCATCTCTGTCCCTGATTCCCTGGATTCCTTCCCTACAGCTCTCTGGTTTTCCAAGTGGTGCCTGTTGGAGCTGTTCCTGGTCAGATGGGAAGGGATGGTTGAGCTTGTAGGAGTGACCTGAGCAGATAAATCAAATCTCTTCTTTACTGGGCTTTGCAGTAATATTCTAGTCCATGCCTCTGGATTAGAATCATGGAATGATTTGGGGTGGAAGGACCTTAGAGCTCATCCAGTCCCACCCCCTGCCCTGGGCAGGAACACCGTCCTCTAGCCCTGGTTGCTCCAACCTGACCTGGAACACTCCCAGGGATGGAGCAGCCACAGTTTCTCTGAGCAACCTGTGCCAGAACCTCAGCACCCTCTGAGTAAATAGTTAGTAGCTCATCTAAGGTGATGCTCAGCCCAGTTCTGTGCAGGTGACTCTGTTACTCCAACGTATCCCAGTAACTGGGTTGACCCTTGCTGGTTTCTGTGCTGGTGCCTGAGTTATGGCCCTGTTTTCCCAGATCATCCAGCGGATCACATGGGTCAGCCCTCCTGCCATCACCAGTGACTGGAAGAGGAAGGTGGCTCAGGATGCCATCGAGAGCCTCAGTGCCTCCAAACTGGCCAAGAGCATCTGCAGCCAGTTCAGGACGAGGCTCAACAGCTCCCACGAGGCCTTTGCAGCCTCCCTCAGACAGGTGAGTGTGTGGAGCTGCTGAGGAGGTTTGGCTTGGGCTGTGCCACTGAGGGAGGAGGAGTTGGAATGCAGGGAGAGCTCCAAGAGGAGGTGGTGCAGTCAGTGCTGCTGTGCTCAGGCAGAGGTGGCACGGCTCAGCGTCCTCATCCAAGGGCTGGTTTGTAAACTAGACACCCAGGGAGCCACAACCTTGTTTTCCACCCTTGGATTCAGGCAGGCAGGGTGACAGTGTCCCTGTGGTGCCTCTTGCAGCTGGAAGATGGGCACTCTGGCAGGCTGGAGAGGACAGAGGACCTGTGGCTGAAGGTGCGGAAGGACCACGCTCCTCGGCTCGCTCGGCTCTCCCTGGAGAGCAGGTCCCTGCAGGATGTGCTCTTACATGGTGAGCATCATGCTTGGTGCTGTTCAGCTCCTCCCTCCTCCTCCTGGAGCAGTCAGTGGGTGGAAAGGAGTAGGAGTGTTTTGCTTTTCACTCAACTACTCCAGTGAAGCCTCCGAATCAGAGGCTCAGGAAGGCTGGAAAAGACCTCTGAAATCGAGTCCAACCTGTAACTTATCACCACCATGGGAAACAGACCATGGCACTAAGTGCCATGTCCAGTTGTTCCTTGAACACCTCCAGGGATGGTGACTCCACCACTTCCCTGGACAGTTCCAATGCCTGACAACCCTTTCCATGAAGAAACTCCTTCTTATACCCAACCTAACGTTCACCCTCCATCTGCCACATCCTCAGCTCCTTGGATTCTGCCCCTGCTGGCCAGGGATGAGCTCTGGGCTGGCAGGCTGGGGGTGTGGAGGGAGGAATGAAGAAGTTGGGGTGTGTTTGACTGTGGTGCCTTGCAGGCAAACCCAAGCTGGGCCGGGAACTGGGCCGAGGCCAGTATGGAGTGGTGTACCTATGTGACAGCTGGGGAGGTCACTTCCCATGTGCCCTGAAATCTGTTGTGCCTCCAGATGAGAAGCACTGGAATGACCTTGCACTTGAGTTTCACTACATGAGGTATGTTAAGTGCTTTTTCTCCTGCCACACGTTGCTCCTTCATGTCACAGAATCATGTAGGCTGGAAAAGTCCTCCAAAGTTGAGTCCAACCTGTGATCTCCACCTTGTCAGCTAGGCCAGAGCCCTGAGTGCCACATCCAGCTGTGGTACAGACATTTGCATCTGCAGAGGCAGAACCTTGCTGTAGTTTTGTTGTGGAATCAGTGACCTGACCCCTTGGAATGCCAAGGCAGGAGGACAGTTGCTGGGGTGGGAGACACACAAGCTCCTTCCTGCCTTGATCTCATTCCCTGCTCTCTGTGCTCCTCACATTCTTGCTGTTTTGCAGAGTAGATTAGAATGAATAGACTCTAATAGCAAACAGTTGTCCCCCCCTGATTTTTGGGGGTTGAATTATCCCTTCTTTCCCACTCTGAAGCCCCAGAGGGAGCTGCTGGCTCTGCAGTGCAGGAAGCAGCTAGTTGCCAGTGAACAGCTGCAGGCAGGTGCTGCAGCACAGGCAGCTGAGAGAATGCAGATTTTTGGGAATTCTAACCTTTCACAAGGCTTTTTGGAGTTGAATTGACTCAGACTGTTGTGTGTTGTGGTGCTCAGAGCTGTGGAGCTGTGAGTATCTCCTGTACCACCATGAGTTTTACTGCAGCTCTTGGCCTTGTTCCCTTCCCAAGGTGAGCCCTGGCCTGGGGAGGAGGAGAAGGGCTAAAAATAACCAGTTTTCTGTGCTGAATGTTCTCCAGGTCTCTGCAGACACACGAGAGGCTTGTGCACCTCCATGGGTCTGTGATAGATTATGGCTATGGAGGAGGTTCCAGCATTGCTGTCCTGCTCATCATGGAAAGGCTGCACAGAGACCTCTACACAGGGCTGAAGGTAACAACCACCCTGAAAGTGTTAGATACCCCTGGAAGTGTCCAGGGCACTCTTCCCACTGCCAGAGGGCAGGATTGGATGGATATTGGGAAGGAATTGTTCCCTGGGAGGTGCTGAGGCTCTGGCACAGGTTGGACAGAGAAGCTGTGGCTGCTCCATCCCTGGGAGTGTTCCAGGCCAGGTTGGATGGGGCTTGGAGCAACCTGTGCTGGTGGAAGGTGTCCCTGCCTAGGAGGAGCTTTAATTCCCCTTCCCCAAACCACTCCTAATTCTCTCATATACAAAATATCCCCCTCTAAATATCTCTCAATCTGTAAACCCAAGGTGGAATTGCAGAGTTTTCAGTGGGTTTGGTAAGGAATAGGAAGTAACTTGCACGTGTAGGAGTGAAATGTGTGTGTTTGTCCCCCAGGCTGGGCTGGAGCTGGAGACACGGTTACAGATTGCCTTGGATGTGGTGGAAGGAATCCGTTACCTTCACAGCCAGGGGCTGGTGCACAGGGATATCAAACTGAAGAATGTCTTGGTAAGGAAAACACTCCCATCTGCCCAAATCCTGGAGCCTTCCAGGATCCCTTTAGTGGCAGAGAGAAGCACAAGTGGAGGAATAAGTTTCTTCCTCCCAGCTCTTCTAAGCTGTGCTGGTGTCAGCACAACTGAGGTTCCCCAACTGCTTTCCTGGGGCAAAGCAGCAGTGGAGTCACTTGGAGGTAAAGAGTTTGAGCTATAAGTGGGATGTCCAGTTCCTGCTTCCCTTCCATCCCAACCACACCTTGATGGAGAGGACAAGTCTTGTGCTGTGCCTGGGCTCAGTGAGGGAAGTGTCCAGGGGCAGAGAGGGTTCAGAGCTTAGTTCCCTTAGCCCAACCCTTGCAGTGCCAACACTTTGGAGCCTTGGTGTGACTAAGCTGTGCCAAGTATGAGCAGTTTGCCATCAGCTGCCTCTGTGTGACTTCTCCCACAGCTTGACAAGAAGAACAGAGCCAAAATCACTGACCTGGGGTTCTGCAAACCAGAGGCAATGATGTCTGGGAGCATCGTGGGCACTCCCATCCACATGGCTCCTGAGCTCTTCACAGGTAACTTCCCTCCCTGAGCCCACTGTGCCTGCAATTCCAAAGGCTTTTGCTTTGGGTTGTTATCTAACTTGCTCATGAGGGAGAAAATCTTGGGTTTGCTTTGCTTATCTGCTACCCATGCATCTATTCCTGTGTGTTCAGTACCAGCCTTGGAAGAGAACTGAGAGCTTCAGCAGCTTTGCTGGAGTGATTAATGCTCCTACAATTGGAAAGCTGAATTATTAATTTCGAGCTGGAAATATTTGGCTTTCATAGGCAAATACTCAGGAAGGATCTCCTGGAAGGGATTTCTAGGCTGTGCTGTGACATGGAATGTGAATTCAGTGTGTGTTGTACCTCTGGCAGGTGCTCTCAAGCAAGGCCTTCCAACAGCTCTGAGGTTCACACCTCCCTCCTCAGGATCCTTCTGGTCCACCAGGGCTGTCCCTGCTTGGATGAGGTTGAAATCAAGTTAGATCAACCCTATTTGTGTCTAATTTAGGTGTCACTCAGGTAGTTCTTACGACTAGGAGGTTGGACCTTGGCCTTGTGGGTGAGGATTGGCTTAGCCCTGGGGCACTTGGGGTGCTCAATCTGCCCCAGTTCCATGGGGAACTTGCTGGAAATGAAGAATTGCCCAATTTCTGGGCTGAGACCTTTGGCTCTGACAGATTCCTGGGCCTGCAGCAGAGCTGAGAGTCAGATGTTGGTGTTTGAGACACACCTGAGCACCCTCAGCTTGGCAACTGCAGGCACAAGTGAAGTAAGTGAATAAATAAAACCAGATAGAATAAATCTCTATGAACAAATAGATGAGAACTGGAAAATCTTCACTTTTCTCCCTCCACAACTCCACTGAGTGTTACTTGGCTTTGCCTCCTGGCAGTGCAGTTGTGGTTTGAGGAAGTTCTTGGGCGTTTGCCCTGCTGAGCTGCTGTGGTTCTGTCCTAGGGAAATATGACAACTCCGTGGATGTTTATGCCTTTGGTATCCTGTTCTGGTACCTGTGCTCGGGGCATGTGAAGCTGCCAGAAGCCTTTGAGAGGTGTGCAAGCAAAGATCACCTGTGGAACAACGTCAGGAGAGGTATGAAGGCTCCTCTGAGCCCCCAGGGGCACTTCCTGCCTGAGCAAACTCGAGGTGCTGAGGGAATTCCTTTCTGTCCTCTTGTAATTGGAAGGGAAAAGTGCAAGTTCAGAGTCAGTGGGGTTGGAAAATCCTCTAGTGTCATCGAGTCCAAGTTGTGACCCATCCCCACTTGTCAGCTAGAGCAGAGCACTGAGTGCCATGAGCAGTTGTTCCTTGGATACCTCTAGGGATGGTGACTCTACCACCTCTCTGAGCAGCCCCTTCCAGTACCTGACAACCTTTTCCATGCAGAAATTCCTCCTGATGCCCAACCTGAACCTCCCCTGGCACAGCTTGAGGCTGTTCCCTGGGAGCAGAGCCTGACCCCACCTGGCTGCACCTCTTGGCAGGAGTTGGAGAGAGCAGAAGATTCCCCTGAGCCTCCTTTTCTCCAGGCTGAGCCCCCTCAGCTCCCTCTGAAGTTCTCTAGCCCTTTCCCCAGCTGTTCCTTTCTCTGGACACCTCCAGCCCCTCTGTGTCTCAGTGAGGGGACACAGCCCTGGAGGTGCCTCCCCAGTGCCAGCACAGAGGGACAGTCCCTACCCTGGGCCTGTGGCCACATTAGTGCTGCTCCAAGCCAAGCTGGGTTGCTTTGTGACAGTCTAGAGCAACACTGACTAGTTCAACTTGGACAGATTCTGCTCAAAGTTGAGCTAAACTGAGCAGGATCAAAAAAGGCTTTGGTTAACCAGTTCTTTGCCAGTGCCACAGGAGCTGTGCTAACCTTGGGAAGCAGCACAACCCTTGTGATGGAAACCAGAGCTAGGCAGGAATGATCCCCTGAAGAATGTCTAATCCCTTGGAGGCTGTGGTGTGATCTGTACAGTCAAATTCTTCGTGTGCAGCTTGTGGAGGGAGCTGAATGTGGAGTGAAACACTCTGAGAGCTGTTCCTCAAATTATCAGCTCACTCCTGGGCCTGTGTGGGTTTAGAGTCACACTGGGGTTTGTGGTAGCTTACTCCTTCATGCTCTGTCCTGGGGTCAGAGAGTTTTCTGCTTTGTGCCATGAGTTCCTGTCCATCTGGGCTCTGCCCTCTCATGTGAGAGAGATTAGCTCAGATGAGTGAGTCTCCCATCAGCCCTGGAGGTTGCACTCACTGCTGGGCCCGTGGGGAACTGGCCCCAAAGCTCTGGGGGTGCAGGTGGGTGGCTGGGCTGGTTTCCCTGCAGGGAAGGACATTCCTTCTGCTCCCAGACAGTTGCAGAGAGGAGGCTCCAGTGGATCTAAATGCATTGACAGGCTGAGAGAGCTGAGGGTGTCCTGCCTGGAGAGCACAAAGCTCTGGGGAGACCTTAGAGCCCCTTCCAGGGCCTAAAGGGGCTTAAAAAGCAGGTGAGAGAGACTTGTTATATGAGGAGAGTGACAGGACAAGGGCTGATGATCCTAATCTGCCAGAGGGCAGGGACAGGTGGGATATTGGGAAGGAATTGTTCCCTGGGAGGTGCTGAGGCTCTGGCACAGGTTGGCCAGAGAAGCTGTGGCTGCTCCATCCCTGGGAGTGTTCCAGGTCAGGTTGGATGGGGCTTGGAGCAACCTGGGCTGGTGGAAGGTGGACTAAATGATCTTTCATGTCCCTTCGAAGCCAGCCCAGCCTGTGATTCCATGATTCCATGTCTTGTCCCTCCTCTGGAAGTGCCCATGATCTCCTGAGTGACCTCACTGATGCTTCCAGTGATATCTCAGCAGCATTGCTGAACCTTTGCCAAGAGCATCAGATCCCAGAGAGCCACTTTGCTCCAGTGCCTGACAGCCCTTTCCACGAGGAAACTCCTCCTGATGTCCAACCCCCAGCCTGTGATTCCATGATTCCATGTCTTGTCCCTCCTCTGGAAGTGCCCATGATCTCCTGAGTGACCTCACTGATGCTTCCAGTGATATCTCAGCAGCATTGCTGAACCTTTGCCAAGAGCATCAGATCCCAGAGAGCCACTTTGCTCCAGTGCCTGACAGCCCTTTCCACGAGGAAACTCCTCCTGATGTCCAACCCAAACCTCCTCTGGCACAGCTCGAGGCTATTCCCTCTTATTTGTCCCTTCAGCTTGTTCTAAAGTCCCAGTGTGGTGGGAGCAAAGCTGAGGCCAAACATCCCTCAATTCCCAGGAGCTGTGTCTGCTCATGGGATATCCACTCAAACTTGACTGGAAAGGATAAAAACTATGGGGGGAAAGGAATCCTTAGCATGGAAATTGGGAGCTGGGGGGGGGAGTTTGGGAGCAGTGGTGGGTTTGCTCCTGCCCCAGGGAGCCCCAGGCAGATGTCCAAGGTGCTGCAGAGGTAATGAGCTGCTCTCCCTCCCTCAGGAGTGCGCCCGGAGCGGCTCCCGGTGTTCGACGAGGAGTGCTGGCAGCTGATGGAAGCCTGTTGGGATGGAGACTCCTCCCAGAGACCTCTCCTGGGCATTGTCCAGCCCATGCTGCAGGGCATCATGGACAGGCTCTGCAAGTCCAGCTCTGAGCACCCCAATAAAGGGTTGGATGACTCCACTTGAAGGAAGCCCAGAAGTTGTAACCGTGGGGCCAAGTCCTGACCCCCCTAACTCTGCAGGTGGTTTTCAGGTGTGGCTCTCTGGGGGGCTCACCTGAGTGGGACAGGTACCAGCAGCCAGAAGATTGCTCAGAGAGGTGTGAGACCTCGTGGCTGTTCCATGCTGGGAGCAGCCAGAGCCTTCTCCCAGTCCACCCCAGTGCTGCCAGTTCCCCTCTGCACCTTTCCCTCCTGGAGTTGTGCAAAATAAGGCATAGAAAATCCACACCCTTGAACTGCAAAGGGATTTCTGCCCAGCCCACAGCAAGGCCAAGCACAGCCAAGCATTGTGTGTGTGTGTGTGTGTTTTTCAGCTCCCACTGTGGTGCCAGGAGGTGACCACACCAGTCTTTAAAGTCCAAGCTCTTCCCATTAACTGCTGGGCCACAGGTAACTATCCCAATCTCAGCATTGGCACTAATTGCAGAGCAGTTGGAGAGGAAGGAGAAAGCCAAAACTCTAGGCTAGAAGTGTTTTAGAAGCTCCAGAGCATCTGGGGTAGCTTCTGCAACACTCAAAATGTTTACATTGACAAGGAGCAAAGCTTCCAAGTTTTACTAAGGGGATTTTGCAGATGCCCCAAATATAAGCTATTTTCTCCCTTCTGTACCTTTCACCTTTACTCCTGGAAAAAACCATACAAACAAAAAAACCTTTTTTTTTTTTTCTGGTCATTTTGCTTCCTAATGTTTATTTGAGTGTCTAAAGAAACTTGTCCTTTCTCTCAGAGTCTTCTGGGGCACAGGGAAGACTCCACAGAGGTGACAACACAGTTATTGCAGCTCCTGACTGTCCCTGGGGAAGTGCCAATCCATTTTAATTAACTTCAGGGGGTGCAATTAGTGGCAAAAGTAATGACAGTTTTAAATTGTGCTGATTCTGACAGGCAGGTTTGGTTTTTTTAAAAAAAAACAAAAAACCCGAAGGTTTTTCAGCTTGTTTTAAAGTCACAGATGTGGTGGGAGAAAAGCTAAGGGGAGGAAACATCTCTCAGCCTCCAGGAGCTGAGTCTGCTTATGGCATCTTTGCACTCTGAGGCTCAAATTTGGCTGGAAAGGGTAAAAATTAAGGGAGGAAGGAATCTTTGGCATGGAAAACATGAGCTGGGGGGGAATCCCACCCTTCCTCCTGCAGTTCTGGGGCACAGTTGGTTGATCCTCCTGTGCTAGAGAAGGTGGAGGCTGCAAGAGAAGATGCACTTTGGTCCCTGCCGAGGAAAAGGGTGAGTTGGGAGGTTCTCCCTGGCTCTGCTCTTCTCCAGCTGCACAGGATGGGGCTGCAGTGGCTTCCTTTCCCAGGAAAACTCACCTGCAGCTTCCAGAGCAGCACAGTGTGGAGTCCCTGCTCCTTAGTGCCACAGCTGGGGCAGAGCTGAGGGCTCCCCAGCCCCAGGGGCAGCTTGGGCTCACTCTGCCTTTCTCCGTGCAATAAAGGCATCAAGGAGCTGCTTCTGTCTGTAAAGGAAAGTTGGTTTGGTTTTTTGGTGTTTTTTTTTTTTTTTTTTACTTACCTGCATGGTGTGGGGGGCATTGGAGGGCTCTGCTGGATGCAGCCAGGAGCTGTGCTGCTATTCCAGGGGGATCTGGATGGATCCATGGCCTATTCTGGCAGGGTGGGGGGGACTCTGGATGTATCCAGGGGCTGTGCTGCTATTCCAGGGGGATCTGGATGGATCCATGACCTATTCTGGCAGGCCAGGGTGGCTCTGGGTGTAGCCAGGGGCTGTGCTTCCATTCCTGGGAGTCTGGAAGCACCAAGTGCCATAATTCCAAGGGTTATTACCCAAAATTCCTTGTTTTGGGACTTCAGGCAGGAGTGGTGTCACCTGGGAGGGTCTGGCTTGGCTCTCCCTGCCCATCTGTGGCTGCAGCACTTGGGCATGGGGAGAGCAGCCTGAAATGGTGAATCACCCTTAAATAATTGCACAAATAACTCTGTTTTTTACTTTTCCCTTAAGCAAACTCTTTTCCAGCAGAAATCAGCCCTTTATCCATATCCCATCCCTGCCAGTGGCCAAGGACACTTTGGACAGGGCTTGGAGCAGCCTGTGCTGATGGCAGATGTCCCTGCAGGCAGGGAAGGTGGAACTGGATGCTCTTTAACATCCTTTTAACCCAAACCGTTCCCTAATTCCGCAATTTATCCGCTCCAAACTCCTTTGGGACTTAAAAATACACCAGAACTGAGTGTTCTGTGTGCTTGACTGCTTGACTGGGGGAGCAGAACCAGGACAGGGCTAATAGAAGAGATTAAAGAGCATGAACGAAAAGGTACAATAACCACACTGGCCACGCACAACATTTGTACTTCGTTTTCATTATTGTTATCGCTAATTTTAATGATTTTTAAATTACTTTGAAGGTTGATTAGTGCAGTTCTTGGCTCCCCCTGGCGGTCGCGCTTGGTAACGCATCCCCCACGCGCGGCGCTCTGTTCTTTCCGCCGCCCCCGGAACCTTTGAGTTCTGCCGCGGGACCCACACGGACCCTTATTCGCA